AAAGAAGAATATTGAAAGTACCATGGACTGCCAGAAGAACAAACAAATCTGTCTTGGAAGAAGTACAGCCAGAATGCTCCTTAGAAGCCAGGATGGCAAAATTTGTTTCTTATACTTTGGACATGTCAGTAGGGACTAGTCCCTGGAGAAGGTCATCATGCTTGGTAAAGTGGAGGATCAGCGAAAAAGAGGAAGACCCCCAACGGGTTGGACTGGTTCAGTGGCAGCAGCAATGGGCTCAAGTGTGACAATTGTGAGGATGAAGCAGAACTGAGCAGCATTTCGGCCTGTTGTGTACAGGGTTGCTATGAGTCAGAATTGTCTTGATGTCACCTAACAACAGATATTTCCAAGGAGCTCTAGAAGTGCAGTGGTTAAAGCAGTTGGCTGCTAACCAAAAAAAGGTCAGTAACTTGAACCCACCAAGCATGGCAGCCAACTTCTGTAAAGATTTACAGCCTTGGAAACCATATCGGTTCACTGTGAGTTGGAATCAACTCAACAGCAACATGCATAGGTACGTCTATCTATACCTCATCAATGTACACACCTGTATTCATCCATATGGCATATGCCAATATGCCTGTCTATACCCATCTACTATGTACTCATTCTACCCACTTTTCCCACCACACACACAAAAATGTCTCTATGATCTAAAGTATATCATACGCCTCCCAGTAACAACCAATTAACATTGGTCTCCATATATATGTGTATGTGTGTATGTATATATATATATTGTTGTTGTTAAGTGCTGTCGAGTAGGTTCCAACCCACAGTGACCAGTATAAGGTGTCCGAGGAATGGCTGGTGAGCTTGAACCACTGACCTTGTAGTCCAACGCATTAACTCACAGCACCACACCAGGAGTATATATGTATAGATCTTCTTGTTTTGTAAGAAAGAGAACATACAATATTTGTTCTTATATCTTTGATTTATTTCATTTAGCATTATGCCCTACATGTCATAAAGTTTTTTGTAGACTCATCATTGTTTCTATGGTTGCATAGTATTCTGTTGTACATATGCACAATTTGCTTATCCATTCATCTGTTGATAGATACTTTGGTTGTTTCCATTTACAAGTATTTGCTATTATAAATAAAGCTACAATGAACAGAGGTGTACACATGTCTATTCATGTCATTTTTATGTCTCTTGTGGTCCTGTAGGATAAGCACTGGACTGCAAGTTCAAGTTGAACCACAAGTTCAACCCCCCCAGCCGCTCCTTGGAAGCCCTATACAGGGTAGCTATGAATTGGAACCGACTCAAAGGCACTTAACAACAAAGGAGTCCTAGTAGCGTATTGGATTACGAGCTGGGCAGCTAACCACATGATACCAGTTCAAATCTACCAGTTGCTCTTCAAGAGATGAGGCTTTCTGCTGCCATAAAGATTTACAGCCTCGAAAACTTTATACAGGGTTGCTATGAGTTGGAACCGATTTGGTGGCATACAAGCACAGCCATACCTAGGAATGGGATTGCAGAATCATAAGGTAGTTCTATTTCTAGCTTTTTGAGACAGTGCTATACTGTTTTCCATCAAGGTTTTATTATTTTACAGTCCCACTAGCATGGGTAAGATTTCCAGTGTCTCCATAACCTTGCCAACATTTGTTACCTCTTTTGTTTTGGATTAGTATCATTTTACCCTGGGTAAGATCTCATTGTAGTGTTGATTTGTATCTAGTGGCTAATGATCATGAACATCTTTTCATGTTTGTTAGCTGCTTGGATGTTCTCTATGCTAATATCCTTTGACCATTTTGTGACTGGGTTGACTTTTTGTTGTTGAGTTGTTGCAGTTTTCTACAGATTTTAGAGATTAAACACTAACAGATAAGTATTTCTGAAGATTTTCCCCTAGTCTGTAGGTTGCCTACGTACTTTATAAAATCTTTTGATGAGCCTAAGTTTTTAATTTTTATGAGAGCCAATTTATCTATTTTGTCTTCTGCTATTCAGACTATTCTTCTACTATTCTGGAATGTGGAAATCATCGGACAATCTCTTTGATATCCCATGCAAGTAAAGTTTTACTAAAGGTAATACAGAAATGGCTGCAAGCATACATTGACAGAGAACTTCCAGAGGTTCAAGCTGGATTCAGAAGAGGCCGTGGAACGAGGGATATCATTGCTGATGTATGATGGATCTTGGCTGAAAGCAGAGAATATCAGAAAGATGTTTACCTGTGCTTTATTGACTATGCAAAGACTTTCGATTGTGTGGATCATGACAAGCTATGGACAACATTGTGAAGTATGAGTATTCCGGAACACTTAATTGTGATCATGAGGAATCTGTACCTGGACCAAGAGGCAGTTGTTCGAACAGAACATGGGAACACTGAATGGTTTCAAGTTAAGAAAGGTGTGCGACAATGTTGTATTCTTTCACCATACTTATTCTACCTGTATGCTGAGCAAATAATCCGAGACACTGGGTTCTATGAAAAAAAACCCATGGCATCAGGATTGAAGGAAAACTCATTAGCAACCTGCGATATGCAGATGATACAACCTTGCTTGCTGAAAGTGAAGAGGACTTAAAACATTTACTGATGAAGATCAAAGAGCACAGCCTTCAGTATGGATTACATCTCAATGTCAAAAAAACAAAAATTCTCACCATTGGACCAATAAACAACATTCTTATCAACGGAGAAAAGACTGAAGTTGTCAAGGACTTCATTCTTCTTGGATCAACTATCAACACTCACAGAAGCAGCAGTCAAGAGATCAGACGACGTATTGCATTAGGCAAATCTGCTGCACAAGACCTTTTTTAAAGTGTTGAAGAGCAAAGATGTCAGCTTGAGGACTAAGGTGCACCTGACCCAAGCCATGGTATTTTCAATAACCTCATATGCATGCGAAAGCTGGACAGTAAATAAGGAAGACTGCAGAAGAATTGACGCATTTGAGTTATGGTGTTGGAGGAGAATATTGAAAGTGCCATGGGCTGCCAAAAGAACCAACAGATCCGTTTTGGAAGAAGTTCAGCCAGAGTGCTCCCTGGAGGCCAGGGTGGCCAAACTTCGTCTCTCATACTTAGAACATATTGTCAGGAGGGACCAGTCGCTAGAGAAGGATATCATGTTTGGTAAGGTGGAGGGTCAGAGAAAAAGAGGAAGACCCCAAACGAGATGGATTGGCCAAGTGGCAGCATCAACGGACTCAAGCGTGGTAACAATAGTGAGATTGGCCCGGGATGGGGCGTGTTTCATTCTGCTGTGGATAAGTTCGCGAAGAGTCGGTACAGACTCGATGGCACCTAACAACAACAATTAATGCATTTTTTGTTTGTCATCCTATTTTTACAAAAGGTTATGTCCTATAGTTTTCTTCCAGGGATTTTATGGTTTTAGGTTTAACATTTAGGTATTTGATCTACTTTGAGTTATTTTTTGTGTATAGTGTGAAGTATGGGTCCTGTTTCATTTCGCTGCAGGTAGATACCCAGCTTTGCCAGCACCATTTACTAGAGACGTTTTCTGCCTTGCTGAATGGACTTTGACCCCATGTCAAAAATCAGTTGTCCATAGATAGCTGGGTCTATGAAGGGGCTTCGAGAAATTCATGGAAAAATGGAATTAGAATATAATGGAAAATGTCCACAAACTTTTTGAAATCCCTAGTATGTATCTATCCTTGAACCAATACCAGTCTGTCTTAATTACAGTTGCTGCTGTTGTCAAGTTGAAACCATGTATAGGGTTTCAGAGGCTGCAAATCTTTGCAGGAGCAGAAAGTCTCATCTTTCTCCCTCTTGATTTCAGTAGCTGTCCTAGTGTGGCGCTGTGGGTTAATTTGCCATATTGCAAAGCAATTTGAACTGCAAGGTTGGCAGTTCAAGCTCACCAGCTGCTTCTTGGAAACCCTATACAGGGTCGCTATGGATCGGAACCGACTTGTCAGCACTTAACAACAACATAGTATGTTTTGACTATCCAACCTCTTTGAATTGTTTTCAATTAGGAGCTCATACTACTGTGATAGGAGCACTGGAACCATTGTGGATTAAGACCTGGGCTGTTAACCACAAGGTCAGCAGTTCAAATTTACCAGTTGCTCTGGGGAAGAAAGATGAGGCTTTCTCCTCTGATAAAGATTTGCAGCCTCAGAAACCCTATACAGCATTGCTCTGAGTCAGAACCAATTCGGTGGCACACAACCACTGCTACTAAGAAAATAACCAAAAGTAGTACATCAAGGCTCATAATCTCAAACACCTATTAGATACCAGACAATGATGCAAAGTCCTGTGAAGGAAAATAAGGAGTGATGGAATCTGTAATGAATTGGTATCTGTCGATAACTAAACAGTTGCTTTGTGAGGAAGTGAACTAAGAGTTAACAGATCTTTCAGTTTTTCAAAGTAGCTAAAAATCTGCATTAAAAAAAAATTGAAATCTGGTTTTTAAAAGTTAACTAATTCAAATGTGCAAGCCTGTTGCAAATCATCGGTAGCCAGCCAGAATTTGACTTTTTCCTATGAAGTAGTCTTCTGATCTATAAGGGCAGTAAAATGTCACTTTTAAATCATTTATGAACGCAAGTGTATAGTTTCCTAGAGAATCTGGATAGAGCTGGAAAAGTGGATAACTCCCTGAAGTAGTAAGGACTTGCCTCAACTGGAGAACTATATAAATGTGTACCCTTTGTGAGTTGTTTACGGGATACTCTTTGCTAGGTACCTGGGCAAATGTATCTTCCCTGCCATTGTCTTGAAAGCCTGCATACACAAGGAGTATGGGGCAGGGCATTACCCCCGGAGAGTAGTGGAAGTACAGTTTGTAAGAAAGTATGTCGATGGACAGTAATTTGGAAGTGTGGGGAAGAGTATTAATATTAGAAATATGGAGTATGGGCTCTCGTCAATGAATGCTGGGTGGTGATAGCCTCTCCTAGTGCGCCCCCTTTGGGCACCTTTTGCTCACCGTCGCTGTGCAGCCGTCGATTTCAGAGACCTCCATCTTAACGCACCTTTCTGCGCAGGCGCCACAGAACTTCGCTTTCCGCCGCAGAGCGGAGCCCCTCCTCTCATCTCGCCTCTTCCTGTTCCCCATGCCCCCTTCCGCCCGTGAACTCGCTCCTGACCCCGCCCATTTCAGCGAGCCAGTCCCCATTTGGTTACCTGAAGAAGAAAGCGTGCCCATTTACCTGCATTTAAAATACTGGCGCACCCCTGTGCTGGTCGCTGGAGGAGCAAAGAGGAAATACTCAGTCCCCACAAAAGCTAAGCTGAGGGGAAACAAACATATAGTATGTTGTAGCGAGGGGCTAGGGTTGGTTGGGTCGTAAAGGCTTCTAGGGGATGTCAAAGCCGATCCAGCTTCTCATCATTACAGCAAGGGGAAACGCAGCGTGCAAAGGCACAGAGGGGTGAGTTCATGCTTTGCTTTGGGGAACTGCAGGGGCAGTACTTTATTCTAACTGTAGTTGTTGTTAAGTGCCTTCAAGTCGGTTCAGACTCCTAGTGACCCTTCATAGGCTTCCCGAGGAGCAGCTGGTGGATCTGAACCATTGACCTGTGGTTCCCAGTCCAGTGCTGATCCTATAGCGCTATGTTGTTGTTGTGAAGTGCCATCGAGTCGGTTCCGACCCATAGCGACCCTGTACAGGGTTTCCAAGGGTGTAAATCTTTATGGGAGTAGAAAGCCTCATCTTTCTCCCGCGGAGCGGCTGGTAGTTTCGAACTGCTGACCTTAAGGTTCGCAGCCCGATTCGTAACCACTACACTACCTATAGCAGGATACATTATAGCTGTAGGATGATGGGAAGCTAGGTGGTGAGGCTGCAGTATTTTGGGAGGATCTCAGGTTAATCCCTACACAGTTTTTTAACTGAACAATACTAGTGTGTGAAGAGGACCACAGAAGTAACCCAGACAAGGGGAACTAAAAGCCACTATTTCCACTTGTGGTAGTTGTAATGGGAACTTGAGGTAAGACAATGGATTCGAGGCAATGTTGAGATAAAAATTATATAAGGCAACTGGTTTGGCAGAGGAGGTGGGAGAGGAAGAAGTTTTTAAAAATTGTTGAGCAACTGAATTGGAAGGATTTGTTTAGCATGCAAGTGGAAGTAAGGAACTGAGGGACATGTCCTGGTGGTGCGGTGGGTTATACCTTTGGCTGTTAACCAAGCTAGCACAAACCCACTAGGTGAAAGATGAGGCTGTCTGCCCCCGTAAAGGTTTACAGTCTGGAAACCCTTCTACTCTGTCCACTCATGGCAGTGGGTGAGGTGGTGGGTGGAGTTAATTACCTTCCCTGGGTTTTTATTTGCATCCATTTTTCTGATCCAGTGATTGAGAAGCCTCACTTTTACTTTGTTTGCTACTCAAGCACTTTTTCCTTGAACAGAGCTTGAATGAAATGACCTAATCCTCTACCCTCTGCCATGCCCTGGGGTACCGCTCTCCTCAGTAGGCCTCAGCCTTGTCCTCACAGCCAGGCTGTGGTCTGCCTTAGATTAGACCAATGATTCTATTCCAAGGGAGAGGTCATGTGGGCTCATAGTTGATGGCGTAGGTGCCATGTCTCTGTTAATTGATGATCTCAGGTAAAGGTCATGATGCTAGCCCAACAGCTGCTCTTACTGCTGGGTGCTGCTCTAGAGATAGAAAGGGAGGGGGAAGCAGCACAGGGCCCCTGACCTGATATCTACCATGATGTAGGACAGTCATTTCTGTCGTTTTCCTCACTGCAGTACATTATCACACTCCAGAGATTGCTATAATTTATTACAGACTAGCCTATAATCTCCTGTAACATGGCACATACAATAATTTAACAATAGCAAAGATGCTTGGTTTCTTGTTTCATGTAATGGCCAGTACAGCTGTGGACAATGTTGATTTCCTCAGGAAGTCCAGGAGGCTGCTTGTGGAGGAAATTCAAAGACTGTGTCACATCTCTGAGCAAGGGCCTGGGAAGTTCATACAACCCCTGACAGAGTTTTTCTCTGACCTTCCAGGGAATGTTGAGGCTCCCTCCATCCATCCTGCACAAAAAGAGCCAGATTCCAAGCTCCTTTTGTAGGGCTGTGAAGGGAACAGCAGCTGACCCAGATGAAAAGGAGAGAGTCCAAAGGTGGAGGACAGTCAAAAGGCAGAGGCCATAAGTTGAGGGGGACTCTTTCTAGACTGGTTTCCACAGTTTTTGGCTTTGTTCAGGGCCTTATCAAAGAAAGAAATACAGCCCTCTCTTCTGGCCCTTTCAGGTCCATACATGTAAGAAGAGCCTCCTACATCCTGAAGTATCACTCCTCTGCCATACAGGAGTGAGGTAGGTAGCTCCTATGCAGGTGGCTCCACTGTGTGGGTTCCAACAAATATTCTGCTGAGGTCTCTAAAGCACCATGTGAACCTACTTCTACTCATGACAGATATAATCTGGGATATGGGTTAGCACAACTCATTTCTGGAAGGCATATTGTTCAGTTTCAAAGCCTTGTTCTCACTAGAGCCACACAAAACCAGTGGACTCTGCTCAAGGGATAGTATGAATTCTATTCATGTGTTCCAGCCCTGGCCACACCCCACTGTAGACTACAGGGCTCAAGTGATAACTGTCGGCTCATCTGACTATCCACTCAGCCAAGCACAAGCTCCAGGACTTACCAACTTGTTCTTCTAGTGATTAGCACGTATGCATCTAACTGGATAAGGTAGGGTGAATGGTTAGAGATGGGGCGTGGGGTGGAGGGTTGTCTACCAAGAACAACTGACACTCTCAAGACTGTGTTCATCTCTCTATGAGAAATCTCCCTATGTGGTAACCCCACACCCAGCTCCTAGCACCACAGGCCCGTTGGTCAGGATTCATGGCCCTTTCTGTGAAACACCATACCGTCACCCAGATTTTTTACCTAAATCACCTTAACTGAAGTTGCCAGCCTCTTGACTATGAGGACCCTAAGCTGGCTACATAGCTAACTCTCATTGGCTCTGATTTGTAGAAGTGGTGCTGCCTGGTTGGCACAGGGGATTAAAGGTGGTCAGCTCCCTTCTTCTATGGAACGTGACTCCGATTTGAGCTTTACAAACTCTCGGGCCACCTCATCATTGCTTCTCTGAGACAGAATCCGAAGAATGGTCATGCCTGTTTCATCCATGTGGATCTTCCGTCCCAAGGGGCACCAGCAGGCACAGCTGCCCTTGGCTGTCACATCCCTCAGAGGCATCACAGCCAGCCCCAACACTCGATCCTCTCGGGCAAAGCAGTAATCCTTCACACATATCTGCAACTCATAGGCCTCAGGCCCCTCTTCATTTCCCAGGAGGCTGTGAGCACAGGGTGGAAGATGGCAAGGCAGAGCTGAGGGAACATTCAACTGAGTTCACTGTGGCCTGCCTTCCAGCCCACCCTTCCTTCACCTCTAAGGGATCATCCTCCAGGTTACAACCACCCAAGTCCTGCAGCTCCTTCACCCCATAACTTACAAGTGAAATGTCTCATTGTACTTGGGGGTCCAGTTGTTGCTTTTGGACTTCGTTGTGAACTTCCTCTTCTTATCACTTTGGTGTGGGCCAACCATGGTCACTTCTACAAAGGGCCGGAACATACCCGCTGTCTGCCACTTAAGGTTATTAGCAGCTACCACTGCCAAAGAAAGGAAACCTGTAAGGGACCCCACCAGATCTTCCCTGAGCCCCAGGCAGCATTCTGTTTGGAGGAAGGCTGAACTGGAAGGCTGGGATTCAGAGTCTCTGCCTTGACTACTGAGAATGGCCACTGGACAAAGAAACATCAGAGACCTTTCCTTTTCTTTCCCACCCTGCACTGCAAGAAGCAGTGGCTCATAGTAACTACAGGGAAGTTGGCAATGGGAGTGGAAAAGAATGAGTTCTGTAACAAACTTAGGTGACACCCTCTTAGGCAGAACTTCTTACAAAATTAAAGCCGGACTCTCCACACCACTCACCTTTCACTGTAACCTTGTGCTCCCCAGTACCAGGGTGTGTAAACAAGTCCACCTGAATGGAGACTTCTCCCACAGGATCATCCACACCAGATCCTGAGGGACAAAAGGACTGATGATTCCCCCACTAGAAATTCCAGGTCTAATTATTCCAGGTAAAACTGAGGGGCTAAGAGGCTACCACCCTACAGCCTGAAGCAAGAACCAATGTGACCCACAGTAACCACAGGGAAGCAGGCAATTGGAGAAGGGAAAAAAATGGGAAGATAGAATGAGGTTATGTCTTATAATAAAGTTAGGCTGATAACCTTTTAGGCAGAACTTCTTACAAAAATAACCCAAGAATCTCTCAGGATCTCCATATCGCTCATCTTCTTGGCTAAAGACTTTTTCATTGAAAGATGCTGGGAAGGCAGTGCAGTCATGCTGTAGTTGTGTCTGGGAACTATGTCCGCCCTATGGTGTGTTTAGTGGAACAGTGTGGTTCTTTTCTAGCTGAAAGCACCCTTTTGCCTGCCTCCAGGATTTCTAGAAGACCTGTGTGGAAGGCTGCTCTGCTCAGAAAGTACTTTGTCCTATTCAAACCTGGACACCTCCACAGAATAACTGCCCAACTCCAATTTCTGAGAGGAGCCAATATGCAGGCAACTTTGAGCAGAGACCCCACTCTATTTTGGGAAAACACCATTACTCTGCATACCATGTAAAACTTCTTTGGGCAGGAGCAGATGATTCTGAGGCAGAACAATTGTTAGATCCCTTTCCTGGGCGCTAAGAAAACATCTCTCATCTCTAAAAGTTGGGATAGAGCTTCTGAACTTTGACACCGGGTTCCCTGCCCCACCCTCCAACATAGAGATTATTCTAGTTCCCAGGAGTCAGTGTGAGTCCATGTTAGAGTCATAGTTACACAGTATATAACATACCCTTTTCTGGTCGAATGTCCTCATTAGCAGTAAACCTAATACCTTTCCCATCATGTACTGAATGAGCACAGGCCAAGTCAAGAGGTAGTAGCAGCAGCAGAACAAAGAAAGAAGAATCAGTTAGAAGTCTAAGGAGTTAACAGCCATTCAGAGCAGCTCTACATACTAAACATATTCTGAGGAGCTCAGAGATAGGTGTGGGGTAGAGAGAGGAATCAAAGAGCTGAGTCAGTGCCTGATGCTGCAAATTAAACGTAGAGATCAGCCAGATCATGGGCAGAAGAAAAGACCAAGGATGTTTCAGACCAGTGAGGCAGATTGACTTTGCAGTCTAGGAGCAGAGGTCCCTAGGACCACCAAGAGAGAAGAGCGGAGAGCGGGACCCTACCCAGAGAAGCAGTGATGCCAGAGATGGAGGCAGAAAAGGTGACGGGGAGAGATGGAGAGGCTAGAGACTTTAGACCCAGAGAGGGAGACGGGCTGTGTGCTGATGACTGGGGGGCAGGCTTGCAGGATATACCCTTTGGTTGGTTGATGATGCATGGAGGGGATTGTAACCATGGCAATGAAACGATATACCATAGGATGAATGTAAAGCTTATGTTCTCCCATGTAAACTATCACATAATTCACAATAAAACATTTAAAAAGAAAAAGAAAAGCACACATACACATTCTCTTTGCATCCACAATTCTTACTTGAAAGTACCCACCCCTGCCCTTATCACTTATATACCCAGTCTAATTCATCTTTATATCTAGCTTAAAGCTCAGCCTTTCTAAAAAGCTTTTCTGGATTAACCCAGAGGTCCATGAATAGGCTTTTGAATGGACTTGGTGGTGGTGGTGTGCCAGTGCTCTACAGTGCCTCAGGAACTACATCCTCCCTCCAGTTACTCCCACAGTTTGCCTCAGTCACTCCTGACACTCTAGAGTCTTTTGTTCTCTCTCTACAGCTTCCAGCCAAAGGTTCCAAAGGTGTAAACCACGATTGTCCCAACCACCCAATACTTCATCGCAGACTTTTCTCCTCATGCATACCAACAGAGTCTACTCTTTGAGCTCAATAAACATGTACTGTCCAGATGAGGTCTGGGAGAAAAGTCTCGGGTACAATTCCCAGGCATCTGTGATTCTTCTGTCTGTGTAGGTATGTGGTGGGGTCCAGTATCAGTATGGTATAGGGACTAAGCATTAGGCTCTCTCAAGAAACTGGATCTGTTTGAATAAGTAATTGGAGTCACCCTAGGGACTAGAGGACACAAAATCCCTCGGTGTAGAGAAGTGTCAGGGAGGGGAGCTGGGGCCCAAAGCCCTTGGGGCTTACCCTGGGCTGTCTGGGAACGCACAAAAGTCTTGATGAGTGTGTCTGTGGTCTGTGTGTACAGAGACAGGGCATAGCGTAGCGACTGTAGATCTGGGCTCTTTTCCAAGAAGGTTTTCTTCAGTCCATTGCCTCCTGCGTGGAAGTATTGCTGAAAGATAAAAGAGCATGTGCTCATTCCTTTACAGACATGGCAGCTCTCCAACACTGTCCTCAGAGAAATCACGTTTCAGCAGAGGCTCAATGAAGTGTGGAAGAAGCTGGGAGAGAACAGTGAAGGCACAAAGCCCTTTTAAAACAGTTAAGATCAGGAATACCATCAGAAAGCCAAAGTCATAGTCTCGGGGTGAACTATGCATCCTCACTCTGGCATAGAGTGAATGAAATGAAGACAAGTACTGCACAATAAAGTGTCACACAAGACTGTATTATTTGGCTGTTTAGTGGTAGAGGCTATGGAGCTGCTCAGCAAGAGTTTCTGGCAGTGACGTTTGAAGAACGGTTAGGGCAGGCAAAGATATGGGATAGAAGCCATTCAGGCAGGGAAATTAGCCAGGAGTGCTCTTTTGCTCCTCTGAACCCTAAGAAAACTTGGTACCTATGCTGTATCTCTCCCAAGTGCCTTGAATCACAGTTCAGATGTATCTGCCTCACTACTTTCTTACCTAATTATAAGTGTCCTAAGGTTAGGATTTTTTCTGAATTTTTTTTTTAATCTGAATTTTTCTGTATCCTTCGTAGTAAACTGTGCCTGGTGTCTTAAGTTCCACAACTGAGTGATTGAATGAAAGGGTGGTAAAGGAAAATCCTTTGAAACACCAAAAGATTTATACTTCAGTGGGAGAAAAGAAAGTCAACCAGATCTGGGGTATTAAGATTTGGAAGATTAATTCCCAGTGGGAAACACTTAGGAACAGCAATGAGAAACTACCTGAACTGAATTGTCCTCAGGACCTAGGAAAAAGTGCCTTGGGTCCATGGTGAGTCATTTGAAATCACTAGAGGTGCTTTTTGGCTGCTCTCAAGCCGGTCTTAGAGGAAAGTTGAAGGAAGCAGTATGGATATAGCAGAGAAAGTAATAAATCACAAAAACCACTCTTGTTGGAGTGGCAAGAGACTAGAGGACACCTAGTCTGGGAGAGCAGCATGCCAGCTCCTAGTGGCTATGGTATAAGATTATCTGGAAGAGTCGGGGAGGTCTCTACCTTGATGGTGTCCAGAGCAAGGTCAAGAACAGCACACTGCTTGGGAGTGAGACTCCGTGTTTCCTCTCGCACCATGTGGTCCTGGAACACCAGAGAATGTAGCAGTCTAAGGATAGCTTGGGAATGTCATGAAAGCCTTGTCCCTACAGCTATATGCTCCTCTCCTTTTCAGTTTTCAAAGCTCAGATTTCCCTCCCCATGGTCTCCGAGGAACCATGCCTGTCAGGAGGACCCCATGCACAGAGTACCTTGAGTTTGGAAAGCTGGCTCAGCTCCTTGGCAGCAGTGAAGATCAGCGGAGTACCCTAGGGAGAAATGGGATCAGACAAAGGCAGAACACGCCAACTTGATCAGGAAGCAGGAAGTGGAGAGCAGTGTCCTTACCGTCTGATCAGTGAGTGGGGGTAAAACAATCATTCTTTCCATTGTGTTCATTACGACGCGCCAGAGTTCCTTCAGTACACGCTTCAGAACTGTCTTCTCACACACAGTGGCAAAGAGTGTCAGGCTGCAAGCCCAGGCAACAGTGAGGCTAGGGCCAGAGTTTTGAAGTACCCCTCCAGGAGAAATTCCTCTGTCTGTGTCCCCGTGCCTTCTCTCCACAGAACAGTCTTAAAGGTTATACTCACTTGCCATCCAGGAAGTCCATAAGAGGCCGGAGCACACTATCTGCATCCTGAGCCACTGAGGCCCTAGCGTTGGGAGATGCATTCCCTGGGCCCCGAACCTGGCCCAGGATGTCAGCCATTTGTCGAACACACTCATCAATCCGCACCTGGAAACTACACATGCACCCGTAATGCAGCCTTCCCCTCCCCAAACATACACTGCCCCAGAGCAGCATCAGCCATCTGGCCCCACTCCAGCTTGCTCATGGTGCGGCTCCAGAAGGGAGTAGAGGGAAGATCCAAACACTGCAGCTGAATGGATGGGTGTGAGGGATGGGTTTTAGGACTAGTCATGGACCCCACATGACCTTGAAGACTGGCAGGTCCATTATATTTTGGGACCACTGACCTGTTTCCAAACACCATGCTGAGCTCATCCAGAACTGTATTCAGTTTCACCTGAAGTTCCTTCAGACTGTCTGCAGCGTCAGGGTCCAACTGTATCCACAAAAGGTGGGATTTGTTGAGCTGGTCCTCTTATAGCCTCTTCTCCCCTCCTATGTCCCCATTCTTCCTAGGGCATTTATTACGCCTATTCAAATATTCCAAGTCAATCCAGACCCCATGCCCTTGCATGCGCCTTCCTAGTTCAAGAGAGGTTAGAGTTCTGTGGCCAGGAGGTTATGAAATAAAGAGAAAATCATAGGTGCAGAGGCACCAAACCCTTAAGGCGTACCTCCTTGCCTCCCATGGCTTCGAACATTTTCTCCAGCTGGACTCTCAGTTGCTGCATGTTGTTCATCAGGATGCAGGGCTTTGGAGACAGTTGGAGCTGCTGAATCTTGGGTCTTTCCCACACAGGGACACATTAACCCAGAGTCCCTCCCCTTCTCACACTGTGCTGAAAGCCATAGGGAATTCACCACACAGATCACATAAGCCTCCCTCTGAGCATTGAGATCAGGAGTAAATCCTGGAAATTCCTGAATGAAGACTAGAAGCAAATGTTTTGGTTTTTAAGCTGGGTGGTGGGTACACAGGTGTTCATGATATTATCTTGTATAATTTTGAATGTTTTAATTTTTTTTTCACTTAAGAAAAAAAGACTAAACAAAGGGTTAGCTGAATGGAGAATAAAGTACTAAAAGGAGACTCAAGAGGACCTCCTGGTAAAGTTATTATCATTCTGTGGCATAGATCCCAAGGGACTTCAGCACAACCAGATAGACAACTAGGTAAACAGAGGAACAGATGAGCCAGGGAACAAAGCTCTGATGGGAATCAGAAGTTAGGATCATCACACCAAAGGCTTCAAATGCCCTTCCTCTAAAGGCCCCAGGGCCTGAACTTTACCAGCCTCTCCTTGGTGCAATAAGCTGGGAAGTCTTTTGATAAAATGTCTGCATACTGCATCAGCACCTTCCCAATGGTCTAAAAAGAGAAGAGAGAAGGAAAGGAGAAGAATTCCTTAGGTATTAGCGCAAGGCTCCTCCTCTCATCAGTAACAGGGAGGTGAAGGGGGAATCTCACAGTAAGAGACAAAGCTCCCTGTCAATCCCAGAACAGCTGTAAAACAGACTCATCTATCTGCCCGACACACACAATGGACACTGGAGTAAGGCTAGGCTTTACCTGAAGGCCACCTCGAAGAGAGTTTGAGCGCAGGTCTGTGAATGTGGTGCTGGTGTCAGCAAGGGGAAGGGGGAGGGAGAGTCATGATCACCTTAGCAAATCTTCTCATATAGTGAGCAAGGATGTTAAGGTCTGGGCATTCCAACTTCCGGATGATCTCAAAGCTTTGGTTGAGTTGTGTGAAGACATCCACCACAGAGCAGGAAAAGAGGGCATGCTCTGACGTCTGCTGGAACTAAGGAAGGCCACACATAGAGTCACTATCCTCAGTTGCTGTTTCCCCCAAGCTTCTAAGGCTCAAAAGGGCCATACCCGGTAGAGTCAGAGCAGTGGCCTTCAATGGCCCTCCCTAAGGGTGGAAACCAGGAATTTTTGCAGACAGCTAATTGCTAGAGTCCTGACCTGATTCCTGTGTAGTCCAAGCTCCCCACTTACACCATCTTTCTTATCTCGTTCCAGGGCCCCGCGTAGAAATTCCAGGGATACATCCTCATTCTCATTCAGCCACTGTAGTACAAACTGCTCAAACCAACTGTAGCCAAAGAAGAAGAATTGGGGGTTGAAGTTAATTGTTGGCTTATAACCTGTGCTTGACATCATCATCATATTGGGATCTTCTGAAGGTAGGACATGGCTTGACCCTTTTTCTTTTTACAATAATGCTCAGAACAGACGTGCTGTACTGAACTAAGGATACTGGCCCGTGTCCACCTACCAAGCCAAAGAGATTCTCTCCCCTTCCCTCATCAGTGCCCACATAATAACTCACGTTGGGTACTCAGGCACCTGCCCCTGGAGGGCAGGCAAATCCCGTACGTATTCATTGTGAAGCCACTTCACTTTGAAATGCAGGTTCATGTAGTCAGCACTCTTACAAAGTCGGTCTTTCTCATGCTCTAGTGATGGGGAAGAAGGCTAGGTCAGATTCTGGCAGCAGAGGCCATGGTTCCTGAGTTATCCCAAGGCAGCATATCTGGTCAGGTCATTCTGTCAGATGTCTTAGAACAGGAGTGATTCCCAACCTCCTCCTCACAACTATCTCCCCATCCTAGTACAGTGCTCAGTAACTCTCAAGAGCCTGGCCCAAATCTTCATCTATAGGCCAGATAGGCCTATAGACTTCCTGCTCTAGCTTTTGGAAGTACCAAGTGAGGTCACCGGATCCTAGTGAAGAAGAGGAGAAAGGGATAGAGTGTTAATGCTAGCTAGAGGGTAGAATGCCATGGACTGGATAAGGATTACTGTTTTCCAGGGCTTTTCTATCCAAGTGGCTGGGCGAGTTCCTCAGACTGGTTTTAAATGTAGAGATGAGTTGCACAGGGAAATGAATGGGCCGATGACAACTTGAAAGAGAGAGGAAACCAAAGTGGGTCCCAGCTGACAGAAAGAGCATCTTGAGGTAAACTGAAGGGCTCCAGAGCAGAGCTGAGACACTGAAAAAAAGGAACTCTCTGAGAAGTATGCAAATAAGAATAGTCTGATTGGAAACCATAGAAACACAGCCAGATGAAATGGCCATCATGCTGCAGAAAATTGGAGGGACACATTATGGATTTAAAAGATCATCCAGCTGAATCACCACAGCCTTCTGGAAAATCTAGGACAAAGATTCCCCACAGCCTTCACTGAGCCTAGAGCCCTGGCTACACCCACAGAATCTCTTCATGCACTGCCTTTAGTTGAAGCATCAATTTGAATAATAAAGGCTAACTGTGTACTGACATATAATGTAAATGTAAAAGCAAAGGAGGAGGTGTTAAACAAGAGAAAAGGAAAGGCTAGTGTCTTTGGGGATCCTGTTGTTCAAATTTGAGTTATTATGGATGATACTTCTCCAAGTCAAGACAAAACATCCAGTCAGGGTCAGCAGACCCTTGTATATCAGTGCAGCAAGAATGGAAGCCCAGGTTCAGCTTCAAAGGACTCCCAGTCCTAAGAATTTCATCTCCTGGCACTGCAGACAGTGCCATTTCAACCTGAAGTTACATTTGCAATCTGTTCTATGAAGCAGTGTACAAGAGAAAAAAAGAAACAAAACCCCAAAGTTCTTACAACCCAGAAAGAAGACTTTTTGTATACAAATGACAGCAGAGCACCAATGACCAACAAAAAGTGAAAAATCAGGGACATCAGAAGAATCATCTCAAGGATTGCCCTGTTGTGTCTACTCTACCCCTTGATGTGAACCTGAACTAATCCAAAAAGGTTACCACGTGGAGGGTTCCTGCCTTTCTGTTCACCAACCCACTGGAAGTATGGTCAGGCTGCCCTATCACTCCAGCACTTTCTAAATACTTTCTTCTGTAGACCCTGAAGGTATAGTGTATAGCTCTCATTTTCACTGCCGAACCTGTTCTCTGCATCCTGGCCTCAAACCCCAGTTTCTACATTAACTTTGATGGTACAAACCCCAACAGGATATACGTTGAAACACTAGTTGCACCTTCAACTATTCTAACAAATCCCAGAGAATCATGTTCCAGCAAAATTGCACGAGGCTGGTGTTGGAGGTATTGGTGATGGTGGGAATTAATCTGTCAGAAGTGGCAATCATTTATCTATAACATTCTCCAGCCCCCTGATTTCCATTGTCTTCCCCTTCATTTACTTTTCATCCTTGAAGAGTTCTTTCAATCTTGTGATTTCAACTGTTCCTTTACTGATATATCCCCCAAATCTCCCATTGGTTCTGGCAATAGCTATGTAACATGTTGAAAGAGCATCTCACTTTGCCTGGTTTTGAATTCTAGTCCTCATCTTTCATCATCTCAACATATCTAGCTCAAAGTGAACAAGAGAGTAAGACTATACTAAATTATCTTAATCTCCTGTTCAATGCTGAACATCATCTTCAAGCTTTCCTTTTTCCTGTTTACTCACATCCAATTAAATCACCAATCCCAGCTGACTTTATCTTTGAAATATTTTGGGGATCTATTAGTTTCTTTCTAGCAGCACTATAACCCACCTAGGTTTCATTATCACATCTCCAATCTGGATTACTACAGGTTAGATTACTACAGCTTTTAAACAGGTGGTTGTTGTTAAGTGCTGTGGCGTCGGTTCCGACTCATAGCGACCCTGCACGGGGTTTCCGAGGCTGTAAATCTTTACGGGAGCAGAAAGTCTCATCTTTCTCCTGCGGAACCTCTGGTAGTTTCGAATTGCTGACCTTGCGGTTCACAGCCTGATTCGTAACCACTACACTACCAGAGCTCCTTTCTAAACAGGTTATTTCCCCTCAAATCCATTCTCTAGACTGTCAGTGCCTAACAAAAAGTAGATAATAAATACCTGATGGATGAGTAGGGATTTACTGTAAAGGGACATGAGGTCATTTTCTTAGATGATAAAATATTATATATCTTAATTGGAATGGTGGTTACACAGATGTTTTTATTTGTCAAAACTCATTAGATTGTACTCTTACTCATGCTTCTATTTTTAAGCATATAAATTATACCTCAATAAATTAGATTTAAAAAAATATTTGGTGAATGATAGTGTTATGGATTAACTTGTGTCCCTCCAAAATGTGGGATAAAGCATTGGCCCACAAGCTCGATTTGAACCACAAGGCTGGCAGTTCAAACTCACCAGCCACTCCTTGGAAACCCTTTATAGGGTCTCTGTGAGTCAGACCCGGACCCAACTTGGTAACACTTACCAACAACAACAAAATGTGTTATAAATGCCAACCTCTATGCCTGTTGTTATAATCTCATTTAGGATCTTGAGTCAATTTCTTTTGATATGTAAAAGTGATTAAGCAAGCAAACAAGAAAGCTTCCTCTGGAGCTAACCCAGAAAGAAAACCATCACCTAGAGATGGCATTGGACTCCTGGTGTGGCACTATAGGATCAGCACTGGACTATGAACCACAATGTCAGCAATTCAAACCCACCAGCTGCTCCTTGGAAACCATATTCAGGGTCACTATGAGTGGAAACTGACTCCATGGCACTTAACAACAATAAGAGCTGGCATTATGAATTTGGATTTCTAGCCTTCTAAGCCGTCAGAAAATAAATACCTTGTTATTAAAGCTACCCACTTGTGGCATTTTGGTTATAGCAGCACTAGATAACTAAGACAGATTGTGTTTTCAACTTCACAGTCAGAGGTAGCATTCAGGTCCCCAGACTCTTCACTCTTTCTTGTCTCCAAATTCCAACAATCACTGGGTCCTATTGCACCTTCCTTTCAATGTCTATCAGCTGCCTCCATTTTCCACTGAGGTAAAATATTACTTAAATGTTATACATATCTCATTTACTTCATCTGTTTCACCAGCTTAGCGAAATAGATGCTGTTACCATCCCATTTTACAAATGAGAAAATGGAAGCTCAAGGAAACTGAGTAGTTCCAAGGTCACACTGGAACTGAGATCTGAAGGAGGTCAACATTGGTTCTTGTCTCTTAAAGCAGGAGTTTTCAGCTTGTCTGTGTTTGTTTTAAACAAAAGAAATCTCATGTAGAACCTCAATGTACGCCAGATAAAGGCAGAGCTAACTTTGTTGTTAATATGTGCTGTCAAGCCAGTTCCAATTCATAGCAACCCTGCATAGGGTTTCCAAGGAGTGGCATCTTATACAGCACCACACCAGGACTGAAGAGCTGACAGTCCTGGTGTGGCGCTGTGGGATTAAACACTGGATCGCAAGGTAGGTTTGAACCACAAGCTTGGCAGTTCAAACTCACCAGCTGTTCTTTGGAAATCCTATAAAGGGTTGCTATGATTTGGAACAGACTTGACGGCACTTAACAACAACAAGTATAAGGTCCAGAGTTTGGCCTGGGGTTTCCCCTTTCAGTTAGCTCCTGAAATGGCTTCATTTGAGGAAGCCTGCTCTACCTCACACTACCGGTCTTGTGGAGTTAATTAATTTTTCACAGATACTTATGTCACCAGAGTTGCAATTCTTCAGGAACTGGAAACACATGACCCATCAGCTCAATGAATGCTGCCTGGGGGAGGGGGACAGGTGACCTCCTTATCAGGTTGATTCAGTGTGGCCAGGAGGAAGCCACTGCTCTGGGACTAAATTATAGACTACATATGTCCAGCCTGTAGTTGTCTCAAATTTACACAGTTCTTCAAGATCCCTTTAAATCTCAAGATACTAATTCTAAACCTCAAGAGTTTAAGAGTCTAGTGGTGGTAGGAATGTTCTGTGGAATTGGTTCTGACTCATAGTGACCCTGTATAGGGTTTCCAAGGCTGTGAAAAAAATTTTTTTTAACTTTTTATTGTTAATTGAGTGAAGATTTACAAACAAGATAATCAGTTTTACATTCAACAAATCATACCCTTTTTTCATCTCAATGATTGAAATCCCCTCCATGCAACAACCATTGTCTCAGTTCATCCCTGTGATTACCCATGTCCATATACCCTTTCAAACTCTTATATGTTTGTAGAATATATAAATATTCCACTCTTCTTCTTATACCCATTCAGCCTGTGTCTCTGTCCAGGTACCTACACACAGAACACTTGCTGTTCCAAGGTTGTGTTTACATCACTATTTACCTTTATCCCCTTTAGTCCTTGCATACCTCCCTATGTCTTCACCTATCTGCATCACTTTTCTGCTACCCTCCCTCTTCTTGTATGTTGCCCTCCTGCTTCTTGTGTATTGCCCTCTCCGTCAACCAAGTTAACATGTGCCTACCCTCTAGCCAGTGAATTACTCTCCCTTCCCTCCTACCCTAGTAAACATCAAAGAATGTTTTATTTAGTATGAAAACCTTTTCTTGAGTTTTCATAATAGTGGTCTCATACAATCTTTGTTCTTTTCTTATTGACTAATATCACTCAAGGCTGTAAATCTTTATAGGAGCAGAAAGCCTCATGGAGTAACTGGTAGATTCAATCTGCTGACCTTGCAGTTAGCAGCCCAACTCATAACCCACTACGATACCAGAGTTGCTTTTAAGAGTTTGAGGGTTACCTATTTCTCCCTACCACTCCAGCCATCTAACAAACCTAGATTACTTTGTTCCTGGTCTCAGACTGCTTTCCCTCCTTCTAGATCTATTTTGACAGACTGAGAAGATACACCAATGTAAACAAACAAGAAGTGTGACTAAAGAGATGAGCCAGGCGAGTGCACTTGAAAAGATGTGATATATCTGCGAGTGTGGACCAGGGTAAGACGTGAATAAAAAAATAAACTTAATAAATGAGATAAACAGTAATGTGTCTGTGGTCTTGCTCTACCAAAGAGGTGAGAGAAGGAGTATCTTTCTGGCTCTACCATACCAATCCAAAGCAGCTTTTAAGGAACCCAAAACCAAGCAGTCCCCAATGTGAAAAAAAAATAACTATGTATTTAAGGTTCCTTGATTCTTTAGAACCGTAAAGAAGTTCTGCCAGACCATTCACCTGGGAGACCACATGAGAGCACTCAGCATGGGAGTGGATCATCTGGATTTGTACAGTCTTGAGCTGTGACACTCACTCTAAAGTTGGAAGGAGGGACCTACGACCACACAGACATTTGTGTTATTCTTCGGCTGATGTGTTTCCCATTCAAAGCCACCTGAGGCCTACTATCTACCATGCCTAGAAGCCCTCCAGTTTCTCACTGTACTGTTCACCCAAAACTTGGAGAAGAAAGGGACAGGGAATGAGGTGTTTGGGTTAGGGGCCCAGCAGCCCACTGGCTTGAACAGACCCTTACCCTCCAGTGCATATTTCATGTCTTGAGCAAACAGGTACCACATCACTTCTGCGCTGACTTTTCCCACATTCAGTTCCTGAGGAAACCTAGATGATAGAAGAAGCCATAGTCAGAGAACAAGGCAAGAACCAATTGATTCCAAGGGTAACATGAGGTCACACTAAAGACAGGAGAAGCCTAGAAAACAAGGCTATGCTCAATCTGAAGAAAAAGGCTCAGGGATAGTGGCAGGACAAGGGAAAGGGCAGAGGATCCCTTCAAACAAGTTGGGCCCAGGGGAGAGGATGCCTAGAAAGCATGGAATTAAGACCCAGGGTAGAAGGGTTGAAGCTAGAAGGAAGACTCAGGCTAAATAGTTACAGGAGAAAGGGCAAAAGGGTGAACTATAAGAAGACCCACTTCCTTCACAGTGGACAGACACATACACACATGGTCTCTGGGTCCCCTGGGGCACCTATGGTAGCCCCAGGTCCAGAGGCCTCTCACTCCAGGGAGGGTGGCTCAGGCTGGGCAGGGCCCCCCATTATGTTTCACACCTGTCTCCAGAAACAGTTACCCATACAGTTACAAGGGACAGAGGGACAGACGAACGGACAGGAGGAAGATGTAGCACTGCAAACATATAGAGATAGGAAAGAAAGAGACTGTTAGACACATGGACAGAACAACCATCAACCAGACTGGCCAACGTGGGATGCTACTCACTGGTTGAGAACAGGTGTGTAGGAATTCTTGTCTTCCTCTATGATTGACACAATAAGTGTGATGAGCTTGGGCCAGAAATCCAAGTTCCGAATACTGGGCCCTTGTTCCTCGGGAGGTAGCTCCTGCTTCTTGTTCCAGAGGAGACAGTGATAAAGAGTTTAGGGTCAGAGTAGAATGTGGAGCATGTCTTCAATCTTGCTCTTTCTTTCCCCCTCTCCACACTCCTTTCTCTCCTAGAACGTAGCTTCCACAAGACTTCCTCGGTTCTATCAAATGGGTGACTATTAGGAGGTCCCTTGTACACAAAGAATCTATCCCTGAGAACTTCTCTCCCCAACTCTAGGGCACTGATCTGCTAATTCAGTCAGGAGGCATAAAGGTATATCTATCCCTTGTTCTTTTAGTTGCTATGGGTATAGTGACTCTGTCTGGAGTGAGCAGCCTTTCTAGGCAGTTGTTAGATACTGTCAAGTAGGTTCTGAGTCAGAGAACCCTAAGTACAACAGAACAAATCACTGTCTGGTCCTGTACCAGCTTCACAATTGTTATGTTTGAGCCCACTATTGTAGTCAATATATCAGTCCATCTCATTGAGGGTCTATTTTTCACTGTCTACTTTACCAGGACCACTTGTGAAGTGCCATCGTCAGTTCCAACCCATAGAGACCCTGTATAGGGTGTCCGAGGAGCAGCTGGTGAGCTTGAACCACTGACTGGCCTTGCAGTTCAAACAGCTTTGTAGTCTGGCGCATTAACCCACAGTGCCATACCAGGACTCCATGTGACCCCTAATGGCAGTGGTCCTCTTTTAGTGATGCCCCTCCTTTGACTGCCCCGCTCTAGGTCTGTGCAGTGCATACACATCTCAGCTTTGAGATGGTCTTTCCAATTTTGCAGGAGACACTGAACAGAGCTAGTATTCAGACTGGCATACCTTTAGCAGGGTGGGACTTCCCTTGAGCCCTAAATGTAATTAAAGGGAAACTCTACGTTTAAGAAGTTGTTTGTCTAGTTTAATAAGAAAAGGTTTTGGTAGAGAAAAAGCAAGGGACTACCATGGTAGCTCTGAGGAATGGAGCAGCAACTCCTTGTTCTACAAGTGGACAAGTAGAGGTCACAGAAAGGCTGGAATGGGCATTAACTCCCACTGGGACAGAGCAAAAAGAGAAAGGCAAAAGTGGAGCTCCCCAGTAGGGCAGAGATAGGTCTCTTATGTGAGATACCGTATTTCATCAAAAGGCACCACAGCTGAGCATATGTTACCAGGAAGTTACTAGAAAGTAGGGCAGAATCCACATCCTGTTGACTTTTTAAATATCACTAAAATGCATCTCTTCCCTTTACTTTTTCTACCATTATCATTCAAAATGCCCCTAAGTAGTATTTGACAGTCATTGCACTCCACCTTTCCTGCAAATGTCAACTATCTTTCTACAGGAAAACTCTCAATGTTATTCCTAGGCTTCAAGTCCTTCAGCAGCTTTCCATAAAGTTCAAACACCTTAGCTTAACACAGAGGTCCCTCATTATATGACCCATCTTTCAGCCTCTTAACACACTAACGTATCCTTTGTACCACCCCCATCCTGCCAACCACCACCATTTATTACTTATTATATGAGGAGGAAAGAGCTGAACAGAAAATTTCAAAGGTCAGCTCAAGAAGACAAAGTCAAACATTACAACAAAATGTACAAAGATCTGGAGTCAGAAAACCAAAAAGGAAGAACTCGCTCAGCATTTCTCAAGCTGGGGAACAGAAGAAAAAATTCAAGGCTCGACTTTCGTTATTGAAGGATTTTCTGGGCAAATTATTGAATGATGCAGAAAG